GTATACAATGATACCTATCATTGCATTCAAATTTAACCTACCCTGGTCAGAAGTCCACCCCACCCCCTAATGTACAGCAGAGTGACGTCCACTTACCCGCTTTTTTTTCAAATGCCTATAAAAAAAATGTGAGTGTCCAAAAAATCTTTAAAGTTTAACATAAGGTTTATTATAAGTTGTACTTATTGTAGTCACCATTTTTTTTATAAGCATCTCAAGTTCAAATGTTTGCGAAATATGTCAAAATCGCGAACATTTGCATGGAATTATGAAGTTGAAAATGCATAAAATTATCATGATTTATTAGATATAAATCAAAAAATCCAACATAAGGCTTTCCATAACTTTTTCTTCAAAAACTGTAAAAAAAAAAAATCCAGTTAATATAGAAAACATTTTGTATGCGTATAAAATTTATATTTTTTATTTTTAAATTTATATTTAAGCGAGTGCCTTGTTACGTATAAAATATGTGGGTGGTGAACTGGTGTCTAGTGCTAATTGATATTGAATAAAAACAAAAACTTCTAAAATCAAAGTTTGTTCTGGTGCAACTGGTGCAAGTAAAATATTCTTGTATTAAATCGTCATATTAGTGGCAAAAAAATTCGTGTCGTTATTGACTTAGGGCCGTTCTTACAATGTCCGGTTAAGTGTCGGTTAAGACTAACCGGTAGAATTCTATCGGGTAACTCATGATAAATTCTTCCGGTTAGTGTTATCAGGCACTAACCGAGCATTGTAAGAATGGCCCTTAGTATTTTAATAATTTTGCGCGATTGAAGCAGAATGAAGGAGTAATAACACTAATAACGGTAACTATTAGTCGTGTTTCATATGCCTAAATGTTAGTCTTACAGATTTAAAAATTAATATGTATTTATTTAATTCTAAAGTTGATAATAATTAATAAGTAATAACACAGAAGAATAGTGAATAATAATATGCCATATTGCCATATTACCATATTACTCTATGACCTATACATAGAACAATGTAGTACTCTGTAGAGTGCCTTGATATCAAGGCACTCTAGTACTCTGTAATATGCCCACTATTATCACAGAACAATTTTTGTTATTGTTTTTCACTGATAAGTGATAAGTTTTCACTGATAAGTGATAAGTTATCACTGATAACATTATTAACAGTCTTGAGCACACGAGACATGATAGTAGAACGGCATGAACGTGCTTTTGTTTTGATTATCGTATATTTTGTATTCTTGTACAATGGCACGAAAATTTAAAAGTAAAAAACAAAAAAAAGTAAAAGACGTATTTGAACAAATATCCAAACGTGATGAAGAGTAAGTTTGACATAATTAATTCATTTTTTAAATTTAATCTACAAACATAATAATATGCCTACGCAGTGATTTCTTTAAATTATCTATGAAAAAATGTATTATGTTAATTAAAATATTCTGAATACATTCCAGTGAATTTATATTTAAAGATGTTAAATGAATCTATYACTAATAACATTTGTACCTACCTAGTGACTTGTAATATTGTAAAATTATATAATTTTATTTACTGATGTAATGTATGAATTATTAATGCAATGTAAACATATATTATAAATATTATTTAMCAATTAGTTGCCATAATATTCCTGTATTAATTTCAAGTGCAAAACGTATCAACAACTACTTAGTACTTGGGTACTCGCCGAGCTTATGGATAACTTATTAAAGGGCATTGAGATATAAGTTAACACTTTCTTAAAATATTATTACGCGTTGCTAATAATAATCAATGATATCATACACAATCTTTTTTCAAATATTTATAATATTATACTTGTTTATTTATACTTTGGTACTTCTTTAAAATACATTTTATAGTAGTGAAATTAATAATCAAATATACCTAAACTGATACAGTGACATTTATAAATGTGACAAAATTTGTGAGTTACTTAGTTGAAAGTTATTTCTCTACTGCTAGAGCTTAATTTTTGATTACATAYTATTTATGGAACTTTACATTTATTATGCTTTGGTGTACTAACTGTATTTTAATTGAATATAGGTTAAAAGGAAAAACTAACGAGCCTCCCAAAGATCCTAAACGTCAAGATGTGCCTCGAAGTTTACGTGAATTTATGCAACTAAAAAAATTAGCAAAACGTAGTCAAAAAAATTTAAACCAACCATACATTGATATAGGAAATAGGTTTACAAAAAATAATCAAAAATGTGCATTTGAGCTAGAAGAAAAACCTGAACAAGTTCATGTTATTCGGGAAAGTGGAGTTGTTGCTACTGAATCTGTAGCTGTTCAGACTACTAAAGAAAAATTAGTACAAGCTAAACGAAAAAGACAACTAAAAACTAAACTAAAAAGGGAGAAAAAAAAAGAGAAAAAAAAGCAAAAACTTGAAGAAGTTACACAAAATAAAGTAGAGCATGCGACTGAATATGTAAAAGACAATTTCGAATTTGGAGAAACTGTTCATTGTCCTCCAAATTTGACTGTAAAACCAAGAAAAGCAGTTATTAATCATTTTGAAAATAGAGTAAGACAAAAATATATCTGTTATTCTTATTTTATTATACGATTTATTTATTAATTATTAACTATATTTGTTTTTAGCCTGGTCGTAAAGATGATTTGTTCTTGAAGTCAATGTTAGCAGATACTGGAAATTCTGCAAAAACAAAGAAAATAAGTGATGTCATTCTAAAAAAACCTAGTAAAAGCGCAATTCAACGAAAAGCATTTACAGGCAAGCGTAAAGCATTATCTATTTCTGACCGAAGGATAATAGAAAAAGAAAGAGAATCGGCTGTGTTAGCATACAGACAGTTAAAAAAAAATGTAACCAATAAAACTGAATAAAATCTGTAATATTTATGTAAAATACATTTTTCTTTTTATTCATTTTAGATGGTTTATTACAATAATATTAGGTWTTTGATGAATTTAAGTTAAATTTAATTTTTGAATCATTCATTATTAATCTGTTTTGATTAGCAGATATCAAAAATATATTATGAATTCCATGAATATTCCCCTATAAAACTTTTTCTTATATTTAAAAAATAGTRAAGGTTCATGTTTATGTTATTTTAACTGGTGAAAGTTTATTTTTGATTCATTAGATGAAAATTATTTATACATGTTACATAAAAGTATGATACTTAGTATTATCATTGATTATAAATACTAGTATATATAATCAATGGTATTATGTATATTATATACTTATAAATGTTTTATTWTATTTTTAACATAATTAACATAATGATATAACTTGGTATGAACAAAATTTGGATGCTAATATGCATTTATTATTTAGTTGTCTAGAAAACTATATTATAGTGCACTTAGTTTACTTAGTATTTAGCACATTATAATARAAAAAAAATCTCATATTGTGTTCATATACAATATTGAAGGATGTTTGGATGTTATTCAATAAAAATATGATGTCATTAACTTAATTAATAGCTATCAACTTGTAGAATGTTGATAGTATAGAACAATTGGTTGGAATGTAAGCTTCTACAAAAAATTAACAACACAACCAGACTGTGCATACTCTCGTAATTTAAATTATGAYGGAAAATTCAGTCTTATTATAGACTTGTACCATAAATCTTAATAAACTTGCCGTTCTAGTGTTCTATGCTGGTTAATTATAAACAGTAAGCACAAAGCAATAATATTATGTTGATGTTTAAATCAATTAATTCTATCCAAAGGGAAGTGATGAAAGTTTATTTTTAGAATCATTGCTTGATTGTTTTTTATCACTGAAATATTATATTAGTAAACCTACATAAACTAAACAGGCTTAAACAGCTTTTTGGGTATTAGTTTACTTATTATGATCTGTATTTTTTATAAGCTGTTTGACTAGATATTTATTAACTAACTTATGTCTAATTTGAGAAAAATAGCAACTTTAAATAAACCTAAAAAAAAAAATATTATCGACAAGTGAGAAAATAATGAATTGTTTACCAAGCTACTTAACTGCCAAAAATAAATTTATAACTCTGACGTGTGTCTCGAGCTCGATTTTACCTTTTACCTAACAATGATCAACGACCCAAAAACCAAATAATTTATTACAATAAGTTATTCGAAAATAGTTAATATCGATTCCTTAATAGACAATCATTCTATAACAGGTAACTTACAAGTTACAATGTCTTACATATAAAAAAACTAATACAATTAAAAGAGTCTCAACATTTAAAAATAAAATATTGTAAATTTGTAAAATACTTGGTTTATTGACAAAATTAAATTAATAAATTTAAAAAAAAATCAAAAATGTTCTTGTCGACATGATATATTTCATTGTTACAATTTAAAATTTACTAGGCAATTTCTTTAATTGACTAAATGGATTTTATAACGATCAGTAATCTATCAACATTGATTATAAAAGCTAGTATTAGAATATTTCCTAATCAATGATATCATMTATTATTKTACAATGAGATACGCATTATTTAATTTTATTTGTACAACTACAAACTAACCAAACACTAAGCAGTTCAATTTGAGTTTTATYATGCACTCGATAACAATTAAATCATTTCTAATTGACGTTTATTTTTATATTTTGAAATTTAATTARTTATGTTTATTGATTACAGTTATATTTTTTCATGGACACTTRTGATTTATGAATGATATTTTATTGACTGACATTTTYATAAGTAGTCCATTATTGTACACTGTTCAGTATAAAAGGATATTGGRCGACCGAGCATAGCTCGAGTTAATTTTTTCAAATATGATGCAGTTACCTATATTTTAGAATAAAAAAATATTGTTTTTAAATTTTTGTTTTATTTCTCTTATAATTTAACTAAAATAAGAACGTATTGCGCGTCTATACCTATACTGTATTATATTATATGTAATAACTAGGATACGGAAGTTATATGAGTTTCAAATTATTCTGTATACTCTCGATTTATAG